AATGATTCAATCAAGAGATGAATCATACTTCTTTTATAATCAAGTTTTAGAGTCATACCCTAGTAACTACAAATCATATCTTGGAGCTTATTCTATACTAAGTAGGTTTATAACACCTCATGAAATGTGAAGTAGTAATGTTTTCTTACTCTGGCACATTTGGAATTGGTAAGACCAATTTAATGAAGTGTTTTTCTTAACGAGAATCCAACTTTTGAATATTTGTCTTTTCTTGAAACTTATATGTCAAGAAGTTAGTGGGAGTCTTATTGATCTTGAAGAGTTTCAGGAGTCAATCAAGAATAAACCTTTTAGTTATCACTAGCACACGACATGAGGTTGATAATCTATCATGTTAAGTTGACACATTCTTGTTTTTGTGCATTTTCTAGTTGAGTTGGAAAAACTTATGAGTTTTATGGTTCTCATTTGACTGAAAAAGGTAGAGAACGTTGGTCAGTGATAGTACATTGATCAATATGGTTGAGCTGCTAAACAACATGGAAGCACGGGTAGGCCCTTGTGCTACCAGATGGCAAGAAATTAAGAATAAGCAAAGCTCGGTCCATGAAACCTAAATTTGATTTTGGATGCGTTATAAAACTTGTCTCGTGATTGTAGGTTTGAAATGACAAATTCACATGGATAGGAGCGCATACACCATAAAATCTAGGTGGCAAAAGTTTTTGCTCTAATTCATGAAAATAATTATGAGGAAGAACTTTCTCTAGTAGATTTTAAAATCTGATTAATATCATTATGGTTAGGAGTTGTGATAATTGCATTCTCAAATTCGCATATGATTATCACATCCCTTTTCGTAGTTCGAATTGTGAGAAATGCTAAGAAATAGTTTTAATGTTCATGACTTATAGCTATAAGTTCTAAAAGGGTTTAAACATATACATATGCTATCTAATGAAAGTGTATAAGCTTGAAAAGTATGACGGAAGACTTATCGAAGCATTACGTATCAGAAATCTGCACTTTAGTAAGAAATTCAAAAAGTATTGATTTTAATAAGTCTACATGATTTCTGGGTACATCTCAATGCTAGTGGGAGAATAATTGTTATGTTAGTTGGAGCATAGTTGGTATGCTAAGTGTTGCAAGATGGAGTTACTGTTTGTAGGAAAAAAAAGTTTAAAAATTTGCAAGTTGCAAGTTTAAAGATTGTTTAGCTATACAAAGATTTAAGGGAGAGGGCACTCATACTTCATTTCAAATCTAACTTTTTATATTGAAGGTTTTAACAAAACTTAATCTTGGACATATATGAATATCATGTTGAAATGCTTCAACATAGGAAATTTGATATATGGAAATATTATATCAAGAGACCGAACAGATACCAGGTCTTTGTGTAAGACATTATGAATCAATTCCCATATGCTTCGGATATAGGATTAATCATATATGCTATAATATTCATTTGTTCTAATTTTTCCAAATGCCTAGGGCATGGAGAAGGAAAAGGGACTAGAACACGGTGTGACTAAAGTTGTTAAACAAAAGTCAAGAATAATTTGAGGTTTACTAAATATTGGTTGCTTGTAGAAAATTGAAAGTATAGTTTTTTTTGGATGGACCATATTGACATAATTCTGATTGGATGTAACTCTTGTTCATAATTGATAGTCATATGAGACTATGGAAATATTTCCATAGTAAGAGTTGGTTATTGAAACTTACATGGAGTTAGGAACTTTAATGCAAGGAAGTTGTTCAAGGAGTGTACCCTGAATTTGAAACTTCGTTGCCATGGAATTGTTTTAAGTAACAAAGTTCCAATGAAACGTTCCATAATATCGTTGGCTCAGTCTCTGTGACTTTGGAGCCTCGACATCACAGAAAACCATTGCATGTAAAGTTGAACTCTGAAACATTTAATAGTAATGAGAATTTGAAATTGTGAAATGAGTATCAGTTCACAAAGGAAGGACCATATAGAAACATTGTATGCATGTTTATAACATGGCATGATTGATGTTTAATTCAAGTGTTAGTTGATTAATCGAAACATTATACAATAAATAAATTCTAATTAATATGGTGATTAAATAATAAGAGATTTATTTATATTCAATAGTTTTGAGGCCATAGTTAATTAGGTTATTATTGTGTTTCACTTCGCATGTTTTACTTCCCGAAGAATTAGATTATTCATAACTCCACAATCACTCGTACTTTTGGAAGTAAGTAGCAAATTAAGGTTGTCATGGATTGAATTGTATATTTTCTAAGGGTTTACACACAGCAATGGTATGGCTGCAATGTTCATGTGTACTTGAAAATGGTGATTTTCACTATTGGATAAACCCACGCTCAGAGAATTACTTCATGGATTTTATAACGAGGAATTCTGAGACGATAATATCTTATATTCTTCAAACGGAGATATATGAGTTATTGTGTACAATTCATTTGTGCATTGATAATACACAAACACATCAGTAACTTGATGTTATAAATCATATTGTTGTACATGATTTGATGAGTGAATAGTGTAAGCATATAAGTCGAAGTTTACTCGTTCCTTTTGCCCTAACAGGAAAAGCGATATCTGTGGGTGCCTCGATGATTTGATGATGACATCTAAAGTGCTTGGCCAAGCCTGGACTAATTTGACGTGTTCAATTAGTAGTCTAATTTCAGTCGTCATATATCAAAAATCGGGAAACAAAAACTTAGACACAAAGATTGATTATAATCTATGTCTCATGTGTATACAATATCTTTTAGAACGGAGGAATATTTGATCACTTATCTTTGGACATCACTGATTGGGTCAGAGTTCGACAGTGACTTTTGGTAGCTACAATTTACTAGTCAATTTGGTAGTTATACTGGTAGTTATAGTTATTAGACTTATCTAAGTGGGAGACTATTGGATTAGGTGTCTAAGCCCATAACTATAATTGGTATAAAATTGAATTGATAGTAGCATAATCCTTTTGGGTTGCCTTCAAACCTAACAATTAAATAGGATGATCGTTAAAGAGAGAAGAATGATTTATTAATTTATTACTTGGTTAATAAATTAATTAGAAATCAAAATAAATGATTTATTATACTATGTAAATTAATGATGGACACTTCTTAGGAATAGTGAACTTGGTGTCTTTTTGGCCCTTTTGGTCCTTTGATTATGGTGGTTTGTCATTTTCTGGACTTTTTGCTATGATTTTCGTTTTGGGCAATTTATGGCATTGTATCGATTCTTTGTGGACACGTGTTATTACACCTGTCCGTCACCGCCACTACTCTCCAATCAAAAGATTACAGAACTGTGGATATCCACTGACTGTATCTCCTCTATCTTATTCTAATTCCCTCCACTATACTGCTCATTTATTCCAGTTTTAGTCACATCAATTTTTTTCTCAGTTTCATCAAATCGATCTACCTTCACCCACCGGTCGCCTAGATTGACTCTCCTCCGTATCCAACCGATCATCAACAATCCAGGCTTGGCATCCCACCCGTAGTGACAAGATTGACGAACTGCACATTCCACGACCACCATCATTCATCTCTCTCGCTTTAAGCCCTACCGGAGGGAAAATCAGTATCGTCTCCATCATCATTACTAGTCTCCTTCATCCCCTATATTTGGCTTCTTCCCTTCTCTATGCTTCGCTAACGCACCACCACCAACATCCTGATCTATTGTTAATCTTGCGAATCAATTTTTCTCATCATCAATCACCATCATGTTCTTCTATAAGGTGGTGCTAAATCAAGTTTCCTCACCACCTGCACCATCTCATCGAGTTCTTCTATACGTATTCTTCTATGAGTTTTATGGTGTTTGCAACCTGCCCCGCCTCTCGCATACTCACTAATTCCATAATCAAGGGAATGGGTCGATGATAAATGGGTTCGAGTAGTCCAAGATGTAGTCCAAGAACATCTATGATTCTTCCAGTTCCTTCTCCACCGCCACTATCTCAATTCATCTTCCCCTACCCAAACCACTTCACTTCACATATCGTCTCAAAATTTCTCCATTATCGATTTATCGTTTTCCCCTTTTTGATTCTGTACTCAGCTACTTCAACCTCTGAATCAAATATTCTTTCCAAGCTACAATCCTTCGACCGATGTCGGTCGACTGTTTCCCTCTTCGTCCCCAGTTCTTTCTGATCGATGTTGAGACCATCGTAAAATCATCGACACACGTAGAGCTCCATCTGCGTCGAGTTCAATAAATCCCTACCCACATCGTATGCTTAGAAGGTGTTTGAAATTTTTTTTGACATGAAGATGCTTTCCTTCTCAGCTTTTGTTATGTAGAAATCATCGGCAAAATTCAAGTTATGATCTGTCACTTTCATTGATTCCTCTTCTTTTGCTCATTTAATGCTCTTCAATTTAGGAATCAAAGGTTTAATTTGTTTTTTCCTTCCACCCACATACATTCCTTTCAATTTAAGGGTTCTCCAACGACTGGAAACATGTATTTGCAAATCTCATGTGTTCCAAATACCATTTATGGGAATAGGTCTTTTATGTTAAAAACTTCACTATGGTAGTTACGATTTATTGGAGAATGTTTATGAAATCCATAATATTCTTCTTTTGTTTCAGGGTTGACCCCTTAACTCAATGATGAAAAATTGTAAGCTTTTAGCCGTAGTCGTAAGTTTCATTACTATCTTAAACCATGAAGATCTTATCAATTTTTTTTATAAATTATTTACTAAGTTTTATAAAAAAAAATCAAATAAGATTTTTGCCTATGATAACATAGACAGGAAGCTACAGGAGTATGAAAGCATGGCTTTCTAAACATCAGTCTATGCAATTAAAGTATACAACTTAGGTTAAGAGATTGTCAATTAAATATATCGATCAATTTTAGAACTATGTTTACATGATATCAATTTTTGGATTTTCACTTGATTTAATTGCGATTTTAGTCGGTATGTAGTGAAAATTATAATAGATATGATGTTTAACATCATAAAGACACTGAAAGAAAACAATTTCATGTACACATGGGGAAATATTACTGTGAAGCTTACAGAATCTCATGGCTTTGTTGGGGTGTTGAGTGTGCAGTTGGGATAGCTTATGAAGTAAGAAAACAGTTCCCTAATGATAAGATTTGGATCACAAATGAAATTATCCATAATCCTACTGTTAATAAGGTACTATTATGATTCATTTCGCTTAGTTTTCTAGAAATCAATTGTATCTTATCACCGTTTTAATGTATGTTGTGTTATGCTTTCAGTTGATCTATGCATAATGGATTTGATAAATTTGTATTTCGATCTAATGTGTCAAATTCAGTATGAAATTCACTTATGTTTCTATAATGTTAGAGGCTAGAGGAGATGGAGGTTAAAGACATTCCTGTAAAGAATGGAGAGAAACAATTTGATGTGATTAATAAATGAGATACTGTGGTTCTGTCTGCTTTGGGGGTTGCAGTCAATGAGATGTTGACTTTGAGTAATAAACAACTTCAAATAGTAGATACGACATGTCCATGTGTATCTAAAGTATTTTTCTTCATTATTTATTTACTTCACCATATGTGATATTTTTCATATTATTATTTATTTTCTCTTTTGGGATTATAAGGTATGGAATGGTGTTGAAAAGCACAAGAATCTTCTACTGCTTCTATTGATCCTAAATGTTTTTTTTACTTTAGTTTTTATCAATGAGAGTAGCTACAATTACCCATTTATCATACCAACCTAGAAAAAAATGTTTTCTACAGTGGTAATAGTATCGATTCCTCACCCCTAATTTCTTTTCCGGTTTAACTAGGTAAGTGCAGAAAGTAAGAAAATAAATCAAAATTTTGATATAATTTTAATTTGTGTGTGTATTTTATAGAGGTGGTTGAACATGCAAATGGCATGACATCTTTACAAATGGGTGAGTTTGGTTCAGATGTATCTCATGGAATTGATACTTATAACATCAGAGAGGCTATTGGTGTTTGTGCTCGTATATACCCCTTCAATTTCCCAACAATGATTCCCTTGTGGGTATGATTATGATTCTCATTTCCCAATTTACACTTACTCTATTTCACCATGAATAAAGAAAAAGAAGAACAAGTTATCTTCATTCTTGAATCTTCCATTTAATCTTTCTTGCAGATGTTTCCAGTTGTTGTTACTTTTGGCAACACTTTCGTTCTAAAGCCATTAGAAAAAGATCCAGGTCATTGTTTTCTCTCTCCTCTCTCTCTCTCTCTCTCTTATCAAAACAATGTTATTTTTAAATTTTTTGTTATTATACATTTACACTTTTTCTTTCAGGGGCTTCTATAATGCTTGCAGAACTTGCAATGAAATCTGGTTTACCAAATGGTGCTTTGAATATTGTTCATGGAACTAATGTAATTTAATCATCTCACTTATTTTCTCTCATTACAAGTAATATTTATTATTTAGCATCATCAATCTAATACTTTTTTAAAATTTGAGACAGGAAATAGTGAATGCCATTTGTGATGATGAAAACATTAAAGCTATATCATTTGTTGGTTCAAACACTGTATGTAAAATGATTTTTACATAATAAAAAAATATACAACTACTAAATCAGTTTCTTATGTTTATGAAAACATCAGTTGATTTTGATATGTGATTCATGTTTTTCAGGTCGCGGAGTTTTTCAGGTCGCGGAGTTTCACTTGGTTTGCCAGTGGCTGCCACTGTGAATTGCATCGATGAAACTGGTGCCAAGAACCTGTACATCTGAGAGATGTGCACTCCCAAGGGAGAAGGTCAACATTATGTTGGTGAAAAATCTCAAGATATTATGTAGACCGAAGGTTGGACTAACCTTTTTAGGGGCAATTTCGTCAATGTCGTTCGTGTTGCTCCCAATAAAGCCATTGAGTTTCATTTTTTTCTTTTTCTATTTGATCTTCCTATGGTTTAGTAATCATAATAAAAAGAAATAAAATGGACAATGATAAAAATGTGGTTTTACTCTACCATATGATAATCGGTATTATTGTAGTTTACATTGAACTAACTAAAACTGATTACATGATATGGAATAATTAGAATATGAAGAAATAACTGAAGGGTTTTGAGCATTCTTACACTCCTAAGGTGTACATGCAACCCTAGAAACCTTGGATCTATGTTTTACTAAGATACATGCAAAAAAAAAAAAATCCAAGGTTCTTAACCAAACTGGCATGACATGGGGAACTTTGAAACATACTAGCTAGTAGAAGAACATACCTTTTTGTTGCTTGGATTCCTTGAGAACCTTGTGAGCTTAACACCTCAAGTGTGATGCCTCAAATGTCTCACACAACACCACAACCCTTGGAATAACTTTGAGAGAAGTTCACTAACACCTCAAAATCGGCTAGCCCTCTTGTTCTTCACTTAGTAGTGCCGATTTTGCTAGTCATGGGGTCCTTTTATAGTTGTGTCACAAGTAGGGTTACAACATGTAAACCCTAATTGACATGGCTTTCCATATTCCATGATCCATGGGTTTATAACCCCCATGGACTATCCATGGAGAACCTCATGGGTTTTAGCCCAATTCAATAAACCATGGATCATTAGCCCACTATAAAAGAATGGATGATTTACACAATCAACCCCATATATTTAATTAGTCTCCTTTTGATCACTTTATTAATTCAAAATTAACTCTTTGATCAATACTAATTAAATAATATTATTAATATATTAGAACATATAATATATTAATAAACCTTAAGTGTCATTTCTCTTATTTAGTCTATCCGAGTGTTGTAATGAAATACAACCCAAATGGACCATGGCAACCGGGTTAAGTACATCACAGAAATAGTTATGAACTTAGACACCTAATCCAACAATAACATGGTTCAACTTCATCTGATATGGTTTTGCTTTTATATTATTTTGTATTTGCATATAACAAATATGGCCTTGCTGAATTGATATGTAATTTTAGTTCTAGGTTGAAGCTGGAACAACAGTCCTAAAGACAGTTGAACTTGAAACGTAACAAGTTAGAAATTGTCTCTGTTATGACTTATAGCGGTTGTATGCCCATGACTTCTTTATTACCCTATATATTTTCATGTTTTTTTTAATTATATAATTGCGTATGCTAGCTTGCTAGTTTACACTTTTGTTTTGCTGCTTGCAGATTTGTACGTTCTTGACCATTGTTACTCTTATTCATTTGATAGTTTATCTCATAGTTACTATTTATTAGGGATTGGTGAATCAACATTTTTACACTTAGAGTTTCATGAATGTGAATCATATGGAGGCCAACTACTATGCTAGATGAATATGAACTTTTTTTTAGCCATTTACTTTGAAAAATATCAATAAATAGCAATGTAGTTTCATCGAACTATTTAATGTTTAAACTCTGTTCCAAATTAAAGATTTAGTAATGTACTTTCATATTCAAAGTATAGACAAATAGTCCATGAAGATAGACCGAACAAAAAATCTCACATCTAACCCCAAAAAGCGGGGTCACTTACCTAGTTAATGTATTATGGATATAATATTAATTATAAATCATATTGTTTAATTAATAATTAACCAGAAATTAGTTGGATTAATTTTGGGATTAATTGGATTAATTGAAAGTAGGAGGACTAAAGGTGATAATGTTCAATAGGTGAGTATTAGGCAATTCTAGAACCTCCCTAAAGAGGGGGAACAAAATCCAGAGTGTCTCTAGGGTTTCCGTGGTCTCTAAGGGTTCCTTGTATGCCTTAAGGAGAAAGTTAAGGGATTAGGGTTATCTTAGAGATAACTGCCTTATCCAACATCTTCCTAACACTTATATAAACCCTCCTTAGGGTAGAATTTCAGCCATGACTTCTTTCTAAGTGTCTTGGACTGAATTTTGGTCCCTTCCCGCCCTCTCTCTCTCTCTCTCTCTCTCTCTCTTTCTCTCTCTCTAGTCTTCCTTGGTTGCTAGGGTTTGTTTGTGAACCATTAGAGGCGCGACACTTATGGTGCTTGCTACCAAAGGTTTTTCAAGTAGGGATTCAAGATTGTTTACAATAACAATCTTAAAGGTATGTTTACTATCTTATTTCATGAATTTTGAAAATAGTATATGCCTTTTAGGGTTTATCTTTTGATGTTTAATACTTATATGTTTAATTAGAGAAAACATCGATCCAAATCAATTAGGGTTACATGCACACATAAGATTGTTTGTTATGTTCAAAACCTATCACCTTTTGAGATCCTTTCCAAAATAGGCCCAACAGGCTACCAAATTGTTCTTTTATCAACGAGCTCAACAATGTACATAATGTCTTCCATGTTTCAAACCTTAAGAAATGTCTCTCTGAATACAAGCTAGTCGTACCTCTCAACAAAATCTAGATCGACACAAAACTCAATTTCGTAGAGGAACTAGTCGAGATCATGGATCGCGTAGTCAAGAGGCTTAAGCAAAGCCACATTCCCATAGTCAAGGTACGATGGAACTCTAAACGAGGACCAAAGTACACATGGTAACAAGAAGACCAAATGGGGAGCAAGCATTGCCATTTATTTGGAAACGCCCCAACTACATGCAAAACTTCAGGACAAAATTTCTTTTAACGGGGATTGATGTGACAACCTAGAGAATACATCACCAACCACCGTTAATATTTAATGATAGATCGTTTGTGAATATTTCCGATTATTGAATTTTGTGGTTTTGTAGGCCGAGTATGTGGTTTCTATCATGTTAGACAGACACCCAATAATCACGGATACTTCACAAACTTTCAATATATATAATTATTCATTATTTAATTTAAGTTAATTTAATTTAATAACGAAATATATATTTTTCCTTATTGCAGGGTATAATATGTAGTTTGATATAAAATATACATACTTCAACTTCTTGCAATCATGTTCGTGTTTCAGTAAACAATATTTTTTTTACTTAATTCATTTTTTTTCTTAATCTTATCTTAATCAATATTGGTATTCACGTAAACAATTTTGATCTCACTCCCTCACATCAGGAGGGGAGAGATAATGTTTTAATAAGGGTGTCACTCCTACTTTAAGCTCGTACACCTAATAGAAAAAATAATTTTTTTAAAACTACGTGTCGAAAATTAGGTAGTGGTCCGGGACCCCTTGGGCTCCACAAGATAGATTCCTTTAATTCACAAGGCTATTATTACAAATTAAGTGATATCTTTTATCATATATTACAAATATTGATCATTTGTTGATATATGTTTTTTTTCTTCATCCGTTTTAAGGTCATGGATACAATAAAGATATCATCAGCGGTATTCATACATAGATATATTACCGTGAACACCACCTCTCAACCATTTGATTTACCGGCGGTAATTTTCATTGGTATACTATTACCGATCAAATGCGAAACATTTCTCAATTAGGCTTGGTCTGGATTATTACTTATACTTTATGCATTAAGAAAATACTCAAGAATAGTAGTAAATAGTTATGATTTGGAAACAATTTTAGAGACAAAAATATCACCACATACTTATTATAGGTAAAAATTGGTAAAAAAAAATACAAATGCGTATTTGACACTAAATTTTAATAGGTAGAAACATCACGACAACATTCAACCTAATTGATAGCTCTAACTTAAATTATCACAAAATATCAATTTTACCCAAAATACTTCAATGTTCTATAAACCGAATTAAAAAGGGGATGAAAATTATAAGTCCAAAGTAGGAATCATAAATGTGAAAAATCATCATAAAATATCAATTTTGCCCAAAATACTTCAATGTTCTATCAACCGAATTAAAATGGGAATGAAATTTATAAGTCCAAAGTAGGAATCATAAATGTTAAATGCCTAAAAAGTGAGCGTACGGACGTTCAACATATGTCATTGTCATTCTCTTATCTAGTAACGCGCCAAACATTAGAAAATAAAGATAAAAAGATGCTAACATAAAGGAAAATGTTATTGTCATAAAAACTGATAGGATAAAATTAACAAATGATGATAACTTAAAGGATTAGGGATGAATATAGACCGGTATCCGTCTCATTTTGCGAGAACCGGAATTGGCGGTTCCTAAACAGTTAAAACCAGAACCGGAACCGGCCTAAGTAGTTTTTAAATTTTTGGAACCGGTTCAGGTTCTAGGAACAGATAACCCGGTTACATCAACTTTATTAAAACTTTTCATTAACATCGTAATTTAGTTCGATCGAAGTCGAATTAATTCGGACTAAAGACGAACAAAATCGGACCAATATATTTTAAATCGATCTAAATAACGCGCGCGCGCGCGCGCACACACACACACACACACACACACACACACACACACACACACACACACACATATATATATATATATATATATATATATATATATATATATATATATATCCGGTTCCGGCGGATACACAACGGGTAGCGGTTCCGAGAAAATGAAAACCAAAATCGGAACCGTTTAAGATAGCTCTGTAACTTTAGAAACCGGAACCGGAACTGTTCAAGGCGGTTCCGATTCTGGAACTAGCAGTTTCAAGGCGGTTCTGATTCCGAAAGCGGGTACTGAATTCCGATGTTCATCCCTATAAAGAATAATGTTGAACAAACATCAATAAATTGTTTGAATAATTAGCTTTTACTACCGGAAAAACCTTTAATAAAATCTAAACTATTATCTTCCAATTATTAAAAAAAAAAAAAACAATTAAGTTATTACTATATACAGTTTATTTCTGATCATATTTAAAATGACGTTTTATAACTTTGTAACAAACAAATTATTGACGTCTTTGTTACCTAGTTTTTGTCACTTCAGAAAATCTAAATTATTCTCATTCCATGCACGAAAAAACTATTATTTATTTGTTTGTATAATAAAACTATTTTATATTTTAATTTTGTAAAACAAAATCATTTTATGTTCTAATCTTACACAATAAATCCTTTATTTCTTCTTTTATCCCCTATATTTTTTTG